AACTAACACCAGCAGCTGTTTCCGTGTGGATCTCGCCCAGCATCTCAATCTCGATGGGGCATGGGAGGTTGCTCTCACTGAAATTTCATATCCCTATACATGGCTTAATCTCCCTAATGATAAGGCTTATTTTGAATGTAGGAGAAAGGGTGATGCTGAGCACTGGTCTGATAACGTGGTTAAAACCAAAATACGCGCCGGGTTTTATGAGGACGCTGAAACTTTGAGAACTGAGATTGAGGCCTGCCTCAGACGTATCGGCTCTGATATTTATCTAAAATATCATCCCATTGTTAAAAAGTTTGAATTCACAGCTGGGGGCATATATCAACTAAGGTTTTTTCCTCCTCTCGCATATATGCTTGGTGTACCAGCAGGTGTATGGCAACGATTCGAGCGCAAATTTGCCCCATATCCTTCAGATATAAAGGCTGGCTGTTATCATCTATTCTGTTATTCTGATATAGCTGCCTTACAGCTCGTGGGTGATAGCTACTCCCCGCTACTGCGTACTGTGAAAATAGAGGGCAATTACGGAGATATCGTGACCCTATCTTTTAACAAACCAGACTATATTCCAGTTGCACGAACACAAATTGAAAATATCCATATTGAAATCAAAACCGATCAGAACGAGCCTGTAAACTTTACCTACGGTAAAACGATAGTAAAGCTACACTTCCGGCCTGTCAAGGATCTTGCATAACTCATAACAACAACAAAAAATGGATAATAATAGATTTATAGGGTATTATCAAACTCAGGCTGGTAACGGTCTGCCTGGATTTTCAGGTGCGCCTGTAATTTACGGGCGCGGAATAGCGTCTATTTTCTCTAAATTGTTTAGATTTGTAACCCCGTTCATAAAGAGGGGTGTGAGCATAGCAAAGCCTCACCTCAAATCTGCTGTCAAAGGTTTTGCTTCTGATATTGTTACCTCATCACTCTCAAATTTAACTCGGTCAAACACACCAGAGCAGCAAGAGGGTTCGGGGTTGACCCTAATTTCGCGCAGACCCTTGAAGCGGCCCCCAGGTCAGAGGTTGAGAGAGTTTAAAAAGCGCAGGAAAACGGTGAAAAAGAGACAGAGTGGGAAAACCGTGAGAGGGAGAGGTCGCAAGACTGATATATTCTAAACACAACATCAACTAAGAAGCAATCAGCAATGTCTTTACTTCACGAGAGATCAAACGAATGCACCTTGAGTGAGTTAGATATTTTTACAGCCCCACTCACTCAGATGTCTATCGAGGACAAATGTTATTCAGAAATTCTACCAGTAACAGCGCTCACAGATCGGGGGCCTCTGGAATTTTATGTCCCCGGAAATGGCTTGCATTACTTAGATCTGAATGATACACTGCTCAGTTTAAGAATGAAAATAACAAACCACGATGGTAGCGACATTGGGGCAGACGCTAATGTTGGAATTATAAATTACCCTTTAAACACCATCTTCAGTCAGTGTGACGTCACATTGGGAGACAGGTTGATTTCACAAGCGAGTTCGACACATGCATATAGAGCCATAATTGAAACATATTTAAATTACTCAGAAGAAACTCTGAAAACTCAATTTACTGCAGGTCTGTTTTACAAAGATACAGCTGGCTCACACGACTCGCATGTTGTCAATAACGGCCCGAATAGGGGCTTAGTCCGGAGGGCAGTTTACAGTGAACGCTCGCGAGAGTTCCATGTGATCGGACCGCTACATTCGGACATATTTTTCTGCGAAAAACTCTTACTAAATAATGTGGATCTACGGATTAAACTCACAAGAGCAAACGATGCTTTCACCCTCATGGCGCCTCAAAATGCCAATTACCATCTCAATATTGTTGGGGCATCATTGTTCGTAAGGAAAGTCACGGTGTCCCCCGCTGTCCGCGTTGGCCACGCCTCCGCTCTCATGCATGCGAATGCATTGTATCCCATCTCCCGGATTAATGTAAAAACATTTTCAATACCCGAGAACTCGCGGATATCACATCATGAGAATCTGTTTCTGGGCTCACTTCCCCGTTACCTGGTCATAGGCATGGTTAACCATGAGGCTTTTACAGGTCGATATGATTTATGCCCTTTCAATTTCCAGCACAACAATCTAGAGTTTTTGGCTCTGTGTCATGAAAGTAAGCAAATACCAGCCAAAGCGTTTCAACCCAATTTTGCTGAAAATCAATCCGTAAGAGAGTTTTACAGCCTGTACACTGCTACCGGGAGAAACCTGAAAGATTTGTCCTTGTGCATTGACAGACAAGAGTTTGAGCAAGGATATACATTGTTTGTTTTCAATATGAATCCTTCAGATGACACTCAGGCCTTGTCACCTGTGATAAATGGCAACTTGAGACTTGAAATGCGCTTCAGAGTGCCACTACCTCACACAACGACACTGATCGTTTATGCTTGTTATGATTCCATTCTCGAGATCAATTCCAAAAGACAAGTTTTGGTTGATTATTACTAAGGTTTCACTTTTTTTATTGAATCATGAACAATCACCAATTGGAAAGTATTATGAGACTGTTAGTGGGCGATAGTTTTTTTGGAGTATATGCAGAAGATGAATTATTAGCATTACTCAAACGCTCGTTTAAACGACCTACATATATGATCATAAATACAGATCCGAGGAACAAACCTGGAACTCACTGGTTGGCTATTTCTTTAGATGAAGATGGAGATGCTAGTTTTTACGATTCGTTTGGATTCCCACCAGATTATCTTTTTTACCCGAAAAGTATTGTAACATTTCTGAAAAAGCATGCTAAACGAGTGTCTTTTCATCAAAGACAGCTACAAGCCACACTCTCGACTGTATGTGGCCAGCACTGCATATTTTTTCTGGCTAACAAATCGCGTGGAAAGAGTTATGAGGATGTACTTGCTTTATATAGCTCTGACCAAATCAAAAATGATAGCATGGTCTCGTGTTTTGTAAAACGATTTATCAGATGTGTATTAATATGTAATGCTAGCAATTTTAATCAAACTTCGTGTTCTCTGAAAGCTTTTAATGATTGTCATTTGTGATAAAAAAAAAATATATATATATATTTCAATAAAACTAACAAAACGTTTCTTGGGAGAAAAAAAAAGCGGTGTATTGTGCTTATTTGTTATATAAAAACATGAGAAACAATTAACTTTTAAAAACAATAAGGTTTTATTTTGTTGGTTTTTGATTACATCAGAAATACACCCAAGACGGTGTGATGCTCTTGCTTTTCTTCTTCTTCTTCTTTTTTTTCTTAACAATAACATCATCCTCAGATGATGTTTGGTATTCTCCTGTTTCTCTTGATCCTTTTAACGCTGCTATTTCTCTTCTAGCTGTTAAGTTTCCAATAGTTGATAGGGGTATTTTTACATCCGCCAACATTCGCGCGAGCGAGCTCCAGCCTAAGGGTTTCACAGTTGCACGGGTACTTGCTAAAAATTTCATCAGGTCCAGCATTTGACTACCTACTATGGGCTTTTCTCTATGCATCAATTCGCCCTCCTCACTCCATCCGATGTGACCTTTTGATGCTAATATTCTACGCATTAGATATTCAGTGTTTCTCTTTGAACGTGGATTTATGTGGGTTAAAACATCGTGTAAAACCTTATTCACACTTCCCCCCTCTGCGCTTTCTTCCTGATGATATTCATCGGATCTCTCACTCTCACTCCCTTTATGCTCTCTGGGGATTCTTAGTGTTATCTCTCTGGTTTCATCTGCTTTCTGTCTCTCAAGCACCAAATACTTTCGTAAAAGCATATTATACTTTTTAATTTTCTCATCTGGGGCTAGACCTTGAGTCTCAAGTACTTGTCTCATTTCACTATCCAGATCATCCTCCGCCTTCTCTCTGATATTCACTCGAGAAGCATTTGCATGTGTTTCATTTAAGCGTTTGATCTGCTCAGGTGAGATCAGATACATTTTCTGCATTTTTATTTGCGAATTGCCCCAATTGCCAGATCTGCAACAATGGGTAGAACCGTTGTGAGCAGAGGTAACAGGAAACCCCCCTTTTGAGTGATTAACTTTCTTTTCTTTCTAACACCCTCTCGTCTGCTGGCCATCTGTCTGATTTTCTCTCTATACCGTTTCAGCTTCTTATGCTGACATTCTGTGACTGGAATATTTCCTTTTAAAAGATTCATACAAATCTCACAAACAGACTGAATAAAATCGGGTGAGCATTGTTGTAAAATAACCTTACGGATTTTAGGGGCGCTTGTGGTTAGTGATTTCAGTAAAGCAAAGTTTCTTCTCAATCTTACAGACATTGTTTCTATTATTTTTTCCTGGGCAAGAAAACACACAGCTTTTCAGAGGGTAGTATCCCTGTTCTCAGTCTTAGTTGCTCTGGACAGGTGGGGGTTAAATCTATCAATAAATATCCATGTGGCTCTCTCGTAGCTTCTTCAAAACTTTCCAAAAAGTATTGCACACGTCCTGGGTAAATTTGTCTAGCTAGTGTATTAACTTGTAATTTATCACGAGGGTTTTTAAACAACACCATGTAAGTACTGTTCAGACTGATCGTCCTGCTGTGTTTACCTTGTAAAAACACGTTCTGGCTCAAAATCATCACACTCATATTTTTATGGTGTCTGTATTGAGTGAAAATCCGGACCACTTCCGGATGATTAGCTGCTTGAAAAATAACATCGTCCAGTACAATGAGATGACTTTGGTGTGAGGGAAACAAGGTCTCATCTTGAAATGATTCAGGAATGCCCTCGATGAATTTAATGTTTTTATTTTTCTCTTGAAGCTCAGAATACAGAGGTTGAAAGGATGTATAAACCCACACAACATTGTCAATAAGCTTGTTCAAAACATGTACACAGTTTTCCAATACAGATTTCACAAAAAAGGTCTTTCCAGAGCCACTTGGCCCGACAACCATACAGGAAAATGGCACATGAAGTCTGGGGTCAAACTCGATTAAAGCAGGCTGAAACATTTTTTTTTTTTTAAAAACAAACAAAAAAAAAAATCAATAACCAAAGGGTAAAGTCAGACCTCCTGGCAGCAATCTACGCTTGTCATAAACAACCCGGAATTTTTTGGGAAATGATGAATTTTGTAGTGAAAAGGCTGATTTATTACGAATGATACTGTGCTGAGGGGCCTCAAGTGTAGACCCTCCTTCACAGTTATCAATGTAATTGTCAACAAGAGTCTTTACAGATTCAAAGTTGACCTTTTCGCAGACATCATGTGTTTGTGTGATTCCTTTTGCTTTCAAAACAACTTTACCTTTTCTGGTCATGTAACCATAACTCTTAGGTCCTGCTGCAACAAACTCTGTAATGAAATCATCCTGGTCTAACTCATTTGTTAGCTCGCCTAAATACCTGCCTGTTTCTAGTTCAGATTGATTTTCTTTAGTGAGATACACTACACTATCAGTGTCATAGTAGATAGCTCTTTCCTGCAGCTGATCCAAGTAACTGTAGAGTTTCATACGCCCATATGAAGTAGTGAAGGCCGCAATGAAGATGTTATCTGTGGAGTTTGGGAGTGCAGTGCAGAGGTCACCATAACACCATTGAATAAGAGCCACATCATCACTGACAAAAGAGAAATAGCTCACTTTGTATTTTGGAGAGAACATGAGGTTAAAGAATTCCTCGGGGTCACTCACCAGTTTGCTCTGTGTGAGATTATTTCTCTGGCCAAATTTTCCCCAAAAAGAGTTTAAACACAGTTTGGCCATTTGTCTTTTAGCAGGGTTTAGTTTTATGTTTTCAGGGTCTAAAGTTATTCCTTGCTTAGCCTGGTAGTCTTTAATGTAAAGCTGTTTAGCCTCCTCAGTTACAGCATCTGATGGGTAGCCTGAAGCTTCTTGTTTTTTGCGCAGGAAATGATGTACATAGTCTGTGAATATTGTGTTACTCTGTCTCTCAAAGTGCCATACCTCTGTGATTCGACCTATTTCATAACCCTTTTCTAATGCGAGGTTAAACTCGGGAGTGGTCCAAACCCCTCTCAGTGCTCTATCCTCGTTACTATGGTTACAGGCTCCTTGTTGGTTGTTCATTTCAGCACAAGTGCGACAGAGAGTAAAGAGAAGTTTTCCTGATTTTGTTTTATATGGTAAAACGGGGAAATAGAGCCCTCTCGGGGGATGAACAGTGGCTTTGATAAACCCAAAGTAGTTTTGAGGGTGCTGAAAATTTTGAAAGATTATTTGAGGATGACCTAAGGGGTAACTACATGTACTATTTACATATGGATACAGGGAGGTGACATCGACATAGTTGATTTTCTCACGGGGCCCGGCACTACAGCGAAGTTGTGCTGGGCTTGTACGGCCTCCAAAGAGGGCATGGCGGGGGATCAAAGGCTCTGGTGGATCATAACGTTTGAGAAAGCTGATTACACTCTCATCACTACGTTTTAACTCGGTCCACTCATGCTCCCAGATTATAACAAGAGAGACATTATGCTCAGCTCTCAATCTAGCTAGCCTGTCTTGAGTGGCGCTGTTTAACTCTGCAAAAGAGGAACCTAGCAGGGGGTTAACATCGGACTGATTGGAAAAACACTTAACACACCCATGGAAGTAGCAGCCCAAAAATTCCCACGCGTATGTTTTACCATTATTTTCGGAATATCCATCTACATAATAACTACCGAGCTGTTTTTCTCCTTGATTGAGCGCATGTCTGATAAAAACACCTTGGGTACACGAGAGATATTCGAGCCATTGAATTGAGGATGAGGAAAATGATTTTACCTGATTATGGTAATTTAAAGGACAGGGCAGGGCAAGAGAATTGGCAGGCATGAAGTTTGTCAAATACGTTTTAAGACAAGCGCTTGCAAGCGTGTTGCGACTGAAAGGATCTACTCCTGTCTCTTCAATAAACCCGTTTCTAAACAATGTGCAACCCCGAGCTAGAATTTCAACATCATTTTTACAGTATAACAGTGCCTGTTTCATGAAATCGAAGGGGCCAGAGCTGACTGAATCATACCATTTGTAAAATTCCTGTCTACTTTCTGATGTCATGCGCTCGAGACTAAATGCGGAAGGGGGAGGGTACGGTCCAACATAAGTTAGGTTTTGTTTGGAGCTGAAAGAATGAGGAAAAAAACCTTTAACACTATCTGAAAATCCCATCGCTTTCGGGATAGCTGACAATGGCATAGGTAGGAAGCATGACGAGTCCATATAACGTTGATTAAAGTCTGGGTCTGTAAAGCTGATCACTTTGGAACCTTGCATTATCAAGTTTGGTTTTAATCCTCGCCTAACTAACCCGCGAAGGATAATGTACGCATCGAAACCCTTTGCATTATGAGCGATAAAGATTGAGCCCTTGAAGAGGGGGCGTCTAAAATGAGCAAGAAAGTTTTCAACGCAATGCTCGCCATGAGAGCTCCAAGATTTACCATCTGATGTTTTTGTACACACCAGAAAAGGGCTGTGCTCACCGTGTTCGTTAACAAAAGTTTCAAAATCATAAAAAATCAACTTGTTATTATGTTTTGTTTCGCGTTGTAAAACCTGCATATAGCACTCATGTGTTTGATGATCACTAGAGATTTCCTGACGACAGATTGGGCATTTTCTCTTTTGGCATTTGTGAGGTTTTTCATGTGCTGCTAAACAATATAGCCTCGAGCACTTGATACATTTCCTGTAGAGGTCGCAGTTGCTGGCGGACCTTTCACGCCTCTCAACGAGTTTTTTATGGCTGTCAAAACAATAACGAGATCTACAGGTGCGATTACAATCGGTACATACAATAGGGGAGAGGAAATGATCGTTGCAGTCAGGCTGCATACAGACTGAGCAACGAGCAGGGCAGAAATGGGATAACACATGGTTAAAGCCTATGTAACAATGAGTACACAAATACGCTGTGCCCAAAAATCCTTTAAGATTTTTGATAGCGTAGTAATGATTGTCAAATAAAAATAAACACAAGGCTTTTGCGCTATTGACTGTACTAGTCTGAAATTTACAAAGGGTGCGATCATACTCGTTACGGTAAAATACTATAATTTTACATCCTAGTAACCTTTCAAATGTAATTATTTGATTAAACCCAACAGGTGTTTGATCATTTAGACCAGCTTTTTGTTGAATTTCTCTAGCTAATGTTTGTGCTTGATAGTCATTAAAATCGGGTTGCAGAAGGTGGGCAACACTTGTAGCAAAACACAACTTATTCGAGGGGTTATGGACCACGTATAAAAAACGTCTTTTCTTTTTCACAATTTCGCTGTTGAGTATGTGTTTAAGCAATCTTTTCCCACTGCCATTTGGGGGTGTAACAATCTGAGCTACAACCTCCAGCGAGCCATCACACATTACTGACCAGTTTGACTGTACCGCTCTCAAGAATAAATTTTCAAATTCAGATAAATCATGATTATCACGTAAAATCACTGAAACATTATTTTGTAACTGCTGGCCTATCAATTCTAACTGGATATGATCACCTGGACGTGCGTGAGAGAAAAGCCTGTTTGATATTTCACGTGCACTAGACATTACGCTTTGATAATAATGGGCATAGTCGGGTATATCGTTTGGAGGAGGGAAATTCAAAATTTCTCTAATTTCAACGTTATTAAATTTATTTCTAACAACTATAGAGGGTTGTGCTGAATTACTGCCGCAACTCTGGTCTGGATTACCCCCTTGTTGAAAGGAGTGATCATGGTTTAATGGGTTAAGTGGCTCGTTCGCAGAGACAATGTCTGCGGGAGAGTTGAGTGATTGATCAGGATTAGAGTCATTGAAAGTGGTCGACAGCTGTAGCGGTGGGCTGCGGCTGAGCGGTCCGTTGGGACATGCATTGTCTGCGGAAAAGACTAGCGAATGCTGGCTTTGAGAATCATTGAAACGATTTTGATTTAGCCTGTTTATTTGACTCAATAACTCTGGCGGTATTTGAACCTCATTTTGTATTTGGGCCAAAGCTTCTAAAGCTCTATTAATTGCTAAAAACGGATCAGAAGAGGAGATGTTTTGTGTCAGACTCATTTGTGATTGAACCGCATCTGACTCTGTTTGGATCTCATCATGATCCAATCCAAAACTCAAAGAATTATTTTGAAAGGCACTTTCATTGGGCGCTAATCGGGCAAGAGCTAAATTAAGCAATTCTAAAGGATCATTATTGTTGATCACCTCAGGTTGCTCACTGTTTTGTGAATATGTAATCTGAGAATGGTGTATATTTTCATTTAACCTAGCTAACGCTGTTTCTAAAGCAAGAAACGGGTCTGTAATATCTTGTTCCTGGTTATCCATTTATTAAAAGAACAAAAAACCACAAAAGCGAGTATGTTTGAAAAGCAAAATGAAAAAAAACAAAAACAAAAACAAAAACAAAGTTTTTTATAAGATGAGCTGAACTAATTCAGTGAACAGAGATACCGCGCGAAGAGCGATTGAAGCCAGCTGCCTTCGGGTGCGTGTTCGCGTTGTCCTCGTTGTCCTTGCGATCCTGCGGGTCCTGCTACTCCTCCTTCTGAGACGCCCTGAGAATTTGAGGGTAAGATACAAAAACAGTTAGTAAAGTTAAATAGAAAAAGGGATAGTTTTTTTATAAAAATGAGAAAAAAGCAAGAACCTATAGAGACTGACCGTGATTGGGTCTCAAAGGCAGGCGCGGTGCATTTCGTGTGTCTGATGGCGGAGAATAAGAAGCGTTTCTGGGGCTCCGATTCGCCTGAACATCGGGAGTGAGCTCGGAAAGCAAATCTTGCCTGTCCCCGGCGGACAGGCGCAAGTTTTTCCCAGAGGGTTGCGGGAGAGAACAAGCTCCGGCGGGAATGGAACTGGGGCCAGATGAAGCAGGGCGATCTAGCGTAGAGAGCAAATGCTGTCTGTCCCGTGTGGAGAGACAAATATTCTTTCCCGTGGATCGCCCAAGCACTGGTGGTGAAGAATTCGGGGAACTCGTACCAATAAAGGTGTCCAAGTCAGAGATATCTAGAAAGTTTGATAAAGATGAAAAAAAAAAAAAAGAGGGTAAATGTTTTGTTTTTCTTGTACAATTAGCTGTTAAGAAGGGGAACAAGAATGAACCAAACCTACCAATTCGATCGAGAGACTCAAAAAAAGAGGAGTTGAGCAGGCTTATCTCAGAGTCTGAAAAGAAATAACATCGAGTATTTACAAACGGGGAAAAACAGTAAAAATATAAACATTATATGAACAAGAATGAGAAAGAAAAAAGAGGTACCTGATGAGGTCATGATCGCTGCTATAGTTTAACTTACAAACGCACTTTCTGAGCTCTGAGTGTTAGAGGCGAGCTTATATATGTTTTAAAAAGTGTATTCCAAGTGTTACAGAGCCTATTTTTGCATGGCTTTTGAAGATGAAAAAGCTTTTTTGACAGAATGGTAAAAAAAGGAAAATGTAGTTAGAGAGAGGAAGATTAACACTTACCGAGTGATATGCACATAGGGCCCGCGGAGGTAGTTGTTTGATCCCTGGTTTCATGGCTGTTGAGCTCGCAAGCAGTCTGAGCGGTTCCAGTTGTTGATATGGCTGAAGGCAGGGGTCTTCTGGGA